TGGTCATATGATTACATATTTTTTAAGATACAATTTGATGCACAAATTACTAAAGCAAAAAACATGCAAAGAGTAATTTAAAAGGTATAATATAATAACTCTTTTATACATAATTTTCAAATGCTATTGATAATTACCCATTTTTTTTATGTTGTGACCAGCAGATGTAAGGTTGGCACAGAATCTGTGTGACATGTGGGTACATATAAGGTATATTTCCTGCCCTCTAGAATGGCATCTCCCAGGACAGAATAAGGGGTGGACTCCTTCAAATCACAACAAAATAACACATAATCCATGACCCCTGGTAGGCTTAAATAGAAATGTTTCTTACTGTTACAGGTCTTGTAAAGTTAAAACAAAGACATTTACAAAGCAAACACTAACAAAATAATAACAAAATATTTTAGTGTGACTTTATTGTGCTGGGCGATGATGTTTTGTTGAAACCAAACAGTTGTGTACAATGCAACTATAGTGCTGTTACCACACTCGTTATTACAGGGTGTGTAGTTTAACACCGTGCAACTGTGCACTATGCATGTAATGAAATGAGTGGTTAAGTTTTCCAGACATTTCTCCTTTTGACTAGGTGAAAATGTTGCGCTACATTTAATGTATCCTTTAGCTTTCATTTGGTATAAATGGATTGTTTACTTATTGACCTGTAAGCCAGAATTATTTTAAATAGCAACTCATGCCACAACACACTTCAACTACAAAAGCAACACAGGCCCCACAGTTAGGGCGCTCAGCTGTCCCTAGGGTCACAATGTGCTTACGATGAAGCCTTTCAAACCACTGCCCAGGGTTACAAGGTCACCGGGAGAAAACTGTGGGCTCCCCAAGAGCAAACCTGCAGACTTCAGCTACAGAAACGTGGCTCTGGGAATGTATCACTTAGCTACAAACCCTTCTTTATTTATTCTATAAAGTCATTCTCTAAATTCCATCAAAAGTTCAAATGTGTCACAGTTTCCACTTTCTTAGATTCTTAAAATAAATATTTGATGGCATTTGTAATTTAACCCCAAAACCTGTACTTCTAATCGTTTTAATAGTGAACTAAGACTGTCTCGCTGTGTTATACCTAAATCGTAGTCAGAAAATATCCTGGGAATGACAAGATTTTCAAAATTAATTATATTAGACATTAATTATATGACTAATCCAAGATTTTCATTCAGATACAATTCCATAATTCAAACCATTCTTGAATAACACAAAAAGAAATATTATAAATGCAGGGCAACATTAATCCCAGTTCAAGTAGCAAGTCACATACATCCAGGATTACTGCTTTGACTTTAAAAAATGACATTTAAAAAAATTCTATTAGGAGGAATTAATAAAGACTGCTAAGGAAACACCTAAGAGAAACTGAACCTACTTCTATGGAATGAAATGCAGATTATAAACACTTAATGTAAAAGTAAATACATTGATCAAATTACCCATTAAAGATATTGCATAGTTATAATATGAACTCTGAGTTTCACATCACAGGACACATAATGGGTAACTAGTTAATATATATTTTTATAGATAAGAATGTAAATGTAAATATACTTAAAGAGGATTTACATTGTATATGGATAGAAGTATAGATATAAGTGCAAATGTGGTTAAGAAGAATTTCCTAGTATCATCTTCTACATTCACCCTGACCTGGCTCCTCAAATTTTGCCTTCAAACTTGAGTTTGCTTTTCTACACCTACATTTCAAACCAGCCTCCAGCTCAAATGCTGACTTTCACGTAACTTTCTACTGCAACTGGTCTGCTGTGACCAAAGATTTCATCTTTCATTATTATTCCTTTTTCAAATTCTTTTATTGTTCAATTACAGGTGTCCCTATTTCTTCCCTCCATTACTTTCCCCTGTCCTACCCAACCCCCACCTTCCACTTTCAATCCTTCTCATTATTATTTTTAGGGGTTCTTTGTAAGCTATATAACACAAGATAATCTAAGGTGCTTTAGAACAGATATGGTGGAGTCAGGTACATAAGCACTCTGACCTTGACCCTATAACCCACACTGGCCCTAAGACATGGGATAATTAGTTCAACCTGTAACACAGGAGATGCTGGTGCCTACCTCTTTGTATTGTTGGAAGGACCCAGTGAGACAGCGGATTTCAAAGCACAGGGGCTTGTATGCAGTGAGTGTGTATATGAATGTAGGGTGCTTCTTTCTTCCGTTGGCTGTTCCCTTTTCCTTTATAATTTTTTTGTGTGTGTGTGAAAATGAGCTTTGCTTCATTTTGGTGAGATGGAAAGTCTTCTAGAACACCATAGCTTTAGGGTAGACAAGCATACCTCCAAGGTCAAATAACACCAGCAAGGTTCCCTATTGGTATAAAATTGTCTTTTTATAACTTTTATCTCTCTCTTATCACCAATAGTCACAATTTCACATATTCTTGGTCTTTATAACTGCATGTAGACTTAAATGTTTCTTATCCTCTATGTGAAACATAGAAAAAGTGTTAAATAAATGAAAACAAAAATAATCCAATTTCAGAAGTAAACCCACAGCCAAGAGTAAAAAGAACCAAGAACTAAATTGTAAAATCATGAAAGATGTTTTCCAGGACATAATAAAGGTTTAATAATGTTACATTAGACACACAAACAAATGAGCACATGCAAACACACTTAAAGAAAAATGACTGAAACATAAAAATTTTTCTTCATTAAATATGCTTATTGCTAGATGCAATAAGTAGTATATTATCCTACATTATAATTATATATGTACTTTGTGGATATCCAAAGTACTTTTTTTTGACAAAGACCATTGCTATATTTTGAAAGATACCTAGGGACAATTTAACGTAATAATCCCTTGAAGTCTTAAATATTAGCTGGTGTCGAGAACAAGTCATCTTGTGGCAGTACTTTTACTGTTTTTATACCATTCATTCAGTCATTACAGACCTGTGGCTTTTTCCTCCCCTCCAAATATTTTAACACTGTCTTTTTATTTTATACCCTTGTTGATAAATAAAAGTGACAGATCAACAGTCAAAGAGACTTCACAGATCTGACAAGTGAGCTTTGTTCTTAAGATCCAGAATCTGCCACACAGAACACTTGTCAAACAAAGTCCCAGCAGCGACTGATGGGTTTTCAGAGAATTGATTGTGTTGGACACTGTTCTAGGCGCTGGAGACAAATAACAGAATCAGGAGACAAGTTCCCTGACCTAATGGAACGTACATCACAGCGTGGGGAGCACAGACAAATATAGATAACACACAAGTGTATGTGTGTGTGCATGTTCGTTGCTAAGACTGTAAAGAGAAAACATAAACAGATGCAGTGATACATATTAGCAGAGTGGCCAGGGACACTCCGGCAAAGCACTGACATTTCAGTGGAATGAATGAGATGAAGGAGACAACCCGGTGAATGTCAGGGCTCAGAAAAAGGGAAGGGGGGAGGAGGGAAGTGTGTGGGCAAAAAAGAAAAAAGAAAAACAGACTGTACTTCTTAAAGTGTAATCATGTAAACCCCACTTTCCTTCCAATACAAAGCCTGAGCTAAAATTATTAGGAAAAATGTATATTCTTAAGATATCCATGCCTCTTCTACAATAATAAGCCAAGAAATTAGTAATAAAGTATCACGGGAAATAAAAGGGTATTGGATATCTGCTGAAGATAAACTTTTGTGAAATTCTCTTAAAATTTATCTGCCATAAATGCTGTACATAAAAGGAGGCTGTTCTAATAATGCACAGTCAGACAACATGTTGTTCAATGTAAGTGCTCTTTGACCACTGGTCAGGTAGAGAAGATCATGTGTGTGTGTGTGTGTGTGTGTGTGTGTGTGTGTGTATATATATGATAGAATACTATGCAGCCACAAAAAGATGAAGTATTACCATTTGTGACAACATGAATAACCCAGAGAGCATCATGTGAAGTAAAATAAGTCAGGTAGAAAAGGACAAGAACCATATGATTTCACTCATGTGTGGGATATAAAACAAAAAGCAACAAATGAACAAAGAAGCAAAAAGAAACCAAGCTCATAAACACAGACAACGAAATGGTGGTTACCGGGGAGAAGGGGTGGGGTAGGACGGAAGGGTGGAGGGGGTCAAATGGGAGGTGATGAAAGGAGACTAGACCTTGGGTGGTAAGCACACAACTGAATACATAAATGATATAGCATAAAATTATATGCCTGAAACTTATGTAAGACCGTTAACCAATGTTACTGTAGTAAATTGAACATAAAAACATAAAGAAATAAAATATAGTGCCAGAAGAAAATAAGAATTTGCATAAAAAGAATATATAACATATATGTTATATATGTATTATATGTACACATTAAATATTCACTATTTCAATTCTGTTGTGAGTGTTGCACTATGTAGATTGAAACACATGCTCTTGAACTTTCTGTGACTATGGATATACCTTGTAAATCAAATGTATACCTTGCAGACTTTTTATATTTACACATTATTTCAGGTAAAGTTTAAAGGGCACTGTGGCCATGAAGTGCTCCTTAGAAAGATATACCTTCTGCAATATCATCGCATGTATCTCCCCTGCTTTCTGCTGAGGTACGTGTTTCTGCGTGTTTAACATTGCTTAACACTGCGTGTCCCGAACATGGCGAATGCTAAAATCAAGTGGAAAGAAGTAAGTTGTTCTAAGTAGTGAGCATTTCTAGAAGAAAGGTGTGCTATGATTGTACGTGTGCATGTTTGTATGTGTACCTCTGAAATAAAGTGTCTCCACATGCCCAGAGTAGGACACCTGAAAATACATTCTGTAGCATATACCTCCCAGGAACACTGCATGTAAACAAAATTGTGTTGTGGGGAAGAAGCATAACATCTGACCTGACAGCGATGGCGGCGAAAGGAAGTTGTCTTTAAACACTTGCAGAGGAGAATGAGACCGCTCTAACACGAGCCCTGGGGGCCGGTTAGGAAACCCGTGGGCGGCGCAGAGGGCGGACTCCCGCGGGGACTTACCACCATCTCGTTGAGCGACACCCAGCAGTCGGGCGGGAAGTCCTGCAGCAGCGGCACCAGGAACTGCAGGCAGCCGTCCCAGTGGCACAGCAGCAGCATCATGCCGATGAGGTTGAAGATCCGCACCACGGCGCTGGCCAGGTCGTAGGTCATGTGGAAAATCTGCGGACAGACAGCCGCGATCAGCTCTGACAAACGATGTTTTAAAAAAAGTCAAGACCACCACCAATGTCAGTACTCATGGACATGATGGACTATAAGCTGCGATGTAATAAAATGGGAGAGGGATTTTTACAAAGAGAAACAGAAGTACATTTGTGCATCTTTACTCTGGATGACAACCAGCTGTAACTGAAACCGGTGTTTCAAAAACACTGGTTTTGTCACTCGTTTTCATTGTTCTTCTGAGCATTTTAGTAAAGCTGCTTTAGAACAAGGTAGCAACACTGGCAAGTGATGACCACCCATTTCTCAGTGTCTCATTCCTTGTTAAGTTAGCAGATTTGCTGAAGGGCAAAAAAAAAGCTAAGGAATAAAAATTATTAACAACTGGAGTTCAACTGTAAAACATACAGTATGAGTGAAAATTACTTGCAGTTGGTTTTTAGCTGTATTGCAAATATTGGATAGTGGCCTTTGAGATGACTGTTTCCTGGTTTTGGTGAAAAACCAGTTGTGCAACAATTTTTTAAAAACTAAAATTATTTCCACTTACATTATTTGTATTATATAGGCTACTCTTTCCTAGGAAGAGTAGCCACTGAGAGTGCTACTCACACGGTTAATCTCACAGACAGTCTCCCCGTTGGTCTTTAACATTCTGTGTTCGAATGTGATCTCACTTTATGGAGCTATCCCCAAATCTAACTTTGGAAGAAGAAGAAGCAAGTGGGCTCTTTTATACTGGTTAGTATCAGAGGCTATTTTCAAACAGTCAAACTCATGTGCATCCATCCCGATTTATCTCCCTGAGAGATAAAAGTACATAGTGGTAATTTGGATGCAAACATACGCAAATGTGTATAGTTCCGGGGACCAAGCTGGTTGTCCCTTGAGCTGTTATAATTCATCATTCACTCTGACGACCAGCTGCTGAGATTATTAACCGTCCTGCTGAAAAACCTTGCTCACAGAATATTCGGATTGGGAAGACGGTTTTTTATGGAGCACACACATCTGTAGAGAGTCACGCTAACTCAAGAAGTAAATGTGTAGTCTAATTATACAGTGCCACAACTTCTTACTGCCTAAGGACAGCGTGTAGTAGGAACCTAAGTGACCTAAGTGCAATTTCATTCAACTTCCTGATCAAGGAGACCATACCATAGATCAACTAATATTTTCTGGGGTTTTTTTTTCCATCCGCAAGGTGAACATCCTTGAGTAGTAAATTTCTGTCTAAATCAATTATTTAATACTACTTCCTGAAAACATGACTTCACACAGAAATAGCATCATAGATGACACTCAGTAATTTGCTAAAGGAGTGAATAAGAATACTGCAGGCATTTAACAGGAATAGCATAAGTAATCTCTTCTGATCTTAAGAGTGTGAAGCTTTTGCTTCTGAGTGTTAAATCAGAAAATTAAAATTAATTATTTTTCATCTTCCTAGTGATCTGACTCAGAACCTGATTTGAGTTCTCAGGGCGTAAATAGCAGAAAGGTCATTCTGACCATTAGCAATATGCTTTTAAGGGGGGGGCTGGGAGTGAGGGGCAAAGGGGGAAACATTGGGACCACTACGAAAAGCATAAACAATAAAAATGTTTAACTTTCAAAAATATGATTTTAAGTGGCACTTTTAAGAGTCAACTGAAAAAATTAAAACAGCGTCAACTGAAAAAGATTAAAATAAGTTTTCTTTGATTTTATTTTCCTCAAAATCTAGACTACAAATCATGTCAGTGGAAGGCCTGTGCTTTGCACGGTCTGGCTCCCAACACTGTGTTGTCTGCAGGGCCCCAGTGGGAGGGAGGGTCGGACCACAGATGCCTCACAGCCTTTTACACTGGGATAGTTCTACAATTCTGCTCACTCGGAGCCTAATGACTCCAGAGAGGATAGCTAATCAGCTTTCCAAAATTAAGGAGAGCTCTGATGAAGATAATTTGATTTAGAACCCCCAATCCTGCCCTAATATTTGCAGAATTGTTCACCAGATGTATAATGTGTTTGTAATATTTTCCCAGGAGCAATGAGCATGCTACATTCTGTTTCTAAAAGGCCCAGTCCCCAAATGCTGTATGGGAGGTATTCATGAATCAGCTGAGTTCTCTTCAAATGCTTCCAAATTCTTTCCTCTACACTGATTTCAGGTGTCCCTCACTCTAATAAACCGCCTATGAAATCAGTGGGCCCTAATCAGTCCTAAACCATTTAATGCCCTATGTTTTATTTAACCACAAAAATTGTCAAGAGCAATTTAACACTTTTTGTAGCACGCAGTGATCTGTCCTTAGTCTTCGCCTTCACAGGCGGGGACCATTCACGGGCTAGATTGCTTCTCTAACCTCGATATTTATTCTGGGCTGAGAATATACCTTCAGTGTTCTTTTCAAAGCAACATTAAGGAAATCAAATGTGCCAGAAAAGTCTCTCTTGATAAAGAACATTCTGATGTTTAAAGTGTAAAATGAGGTTGAATTTTTTGGTTCTCTTTGCGAATCTGCACCTGCACACCTTGATATATATCTTTTAGAGGAAGTGTCTACATGCTGTGTCAACATCAGAGTGCAAGAACACCAACATTTAGGTACTCAGTCTGTTTCATGGCTAACGCATATTTAGGATTCAACATGCCCTGATCATAATCAATAATGAAATCTATATTTTAAGAGACCTACTGTACCTTCTGCAATTCTAACCTTGAAAATGATCCAGATTATTATTTAACTAGGCTTTTGGTACAAAGTATAGATAATATATTATTTGAAGGTTTTACTTGGTATGAGAAAAGCACTCTTCACAGTAATATCTTTTAACACAGACCAGTGACTGCCATCTTTGGATTACTTTTATTAGTCCCCTACTCAATCTGGGATCTCACTAGGAGTGGCCAGCCCACACCTTTAGAAAAGTCAGCCACCCGGGCCTCTTGTCTCTAGGAACGTCTGCAAACAGTGCAAACACAATGGTCCACTCCCCAACCCGGCACACCTATTGTCAGAGCCTCATGCTGGTGGGTGCTTTTCTCCTGGATTCTTCCTTCCACTGCCCCTTCCAAAACTCTCCCTCCATTATCTATTCACTTTCTACACCCACAGCCTGGTCATAAGATTCCTCCTCTCTTTCTGTGCTGTCCCTGAGATGCGTGAGCCCTGCTCACTTTTTCCCCAAAGGTTCAGCCTCCCTGGTAGCTTTCTCGAAGAAAGTCGGTTCGGTTCTTTCACATTTTTAAGCCCTAGGTTCTGATGGAAGTGTCCTCATTTCCCCATGTCCCCTTTTGCCACATTCAGACACCTATTTGTCTAGTTGTATATAAAAAAAACTGTTTTCTTTAGTGTTCCTTCTAGTTGGCTATTCCACCCATAACTTAACCTCCTTTCTGGCATTTCACAACCTCCTGATCTCCACCCACCACACATCTCCTTTTATTAAGGACTCTGTGTTTTTCCATTGCCTTTTCTCCACAAAATGTCAGCTTCTGATCAATCAAAATAGACATCTTCTATTTTTGGGCTGCTGGAGATTACAGGCGAGAAAACAGTGGATTGTGGCTATGAAAATTTTTAAGGATAGCAGCCTTCTCTGAGGCCCTCAGCTATGATCTCTTCTTAACACCATGTATTCTATTTTTTCTCTTTCCACTCCCCCGAAAGCCATGAGCTCTGTTCAGTTTTAGCTTCAAGTTTTACTTTTTCTAGAGGAAAGTGACATTCTTATGTTTAAATTTCCTCAACTGTCTCCCGTTCCTTCAAACAAACTCACATCTACAGCTTTTCTTACTCCTTTTCCCTAAGTCTCTAGAGAATACACGTCTTCTACTCAAAACAAATCCCTACCAATCTTCTGATAGTAACACGAACTTTTTCTCCTCCAGAAGCCCAAACAATTAGGTCTGGGCTCCTCGGTCTATGGTGAAAACCAGCTCTCTCCTCCACCCAGAGCAGACAGAAAACCACTTTTGTAAAATACAGCATTAATGAATTACTACAAAAATAAAATGAAATAAAAGACATAATATGAGCCTACTGACTCTTGGACGTAGTGGCAAAATCACATTGCTGTAATTACTAAGTTACTTTCTTGTCAGAATCACTAACTTCTACACTAGCTTTACCCCAAATATTTAGAAATAATAAAAATCTCTCGAATCCTCAAAAGCATGTAAATTGAAAAAGAATCTTCATTTCTTTTCTGGTCCTCTCACTTTAGCTTCTTCCAAAACCTCTCCCCACTGGAACTTGGAGACAGAGAAGGAGCTGGCCTGCCCGTGAGCAGCAAGTACTTCTCCTTCCACAGCTGCAAGTTCAAGTCCAATCTGGTGCACGATTTGATTCCCTGGAGGGCATACTGTCTGTCCTATCTTCTCTGAGCCTCTGTCCCTCTCTCCCTTCACACATACTCGGGGAGTATAAAGACATTTAAGGGTGATTTCATCTCCCCAAGTGGGGGAGTGGGGGAATAACTTACACACACACACACATCTATTTTGAGCATCCTTCTTGAAATGGCACAAATACAATTTTAAAAGATTTTATTTATTTACTTATTTTTAGAGAGAGATGAAGGGAGGGAGAAGGAAAGGGAGAGAAATATTGATGTAAAAGAGAAACATCAAGTGGCTGTCTCTCACACGCACCCTGACCAGGGACTGAGCCCGGACCAGGAATCAAACTGGAGAACTTTTACTTTGTGGGATGATGCCCAACCAACTGAGCCACACTGGTGAGGACTGGCACGTATATCTTATCATTGGAGCTCTAAAGACATGTGTGATCCCAGAGCTTGGTAGTAAACTAAACAGCATTTATACAGTTTAACAACTATAGAGACAAGTGTATTAGTTATCAATCATGACCACTAAAGTACAGTTAATTTGTGCATGTGTTATTTTGATTGTGTCTCAATATTTATTTAACAAACATATATGTACATATAAAATTTAAAAAGCAATTTTAGATAATTTAGTTGTAAAAAAGTTTGTTACATTTCTTGAC